ACTATATGTGCCTTCTGTGTGTCTAAAAGTGCTGTTGTCTCGGTGCTGTGGTTTGCCTGGCTGTAGCAGGCGCAGCCCTGTGTGAGATAGGAAGACATCCGGATGCTCTTGAAGCTCAGAGGGCAAAGAGGGGCTGTGGGCCCTCACTGGGAAATCCAGTCCCAAGTCCCAGAAGGGGCTGTGCTGGAGATGCGAGCAGGATGTGGCATCAGCATGGGGATCAGATGTGTTGGTTACAGCCTCGCTTTGTGAGACTTGTCAGACTGGTCACCTGCCTTCAGCTCTTTAGATAAAAGACAAGCCTTCTTCTCAAACAGCAAAAACCCCACTGAGTTCTTCGTTACCCTTGGGTCAATCTAGTGTGGATGAAGGGAGAAAAAGGTACTTGGAAATGCTGTGATAACAGAAGCTACAGCTTCACCTGCAGATAAGTACATGTTATTTCATGGGGCTTTTCTCCTGCTTCTGGGCAGAGAATACCCTCATGGACCTCTGTGAGAAATACACAGGTGAAAGGATTAGTAAGTCATTACAAGCTCTGCCACTGCCCAGAATTCCTGTATACCAGGAGGAGATGCAGAAAGATGTGGTGAACACTGGAAACGTCTGTGGCAAGCTGCCAGCAGTAGCCATTTTACCCACATTTGCACTTTCACTTCATTACGTGCTCTGCTGTGGATGCTTTCCTTCCTTCACCTGAAAGTCTGTGTTGACTCTGGAGGGGCTGATACCTGGGAGACAGATCGCAAAGCACCTGCCTTAGAAGGGGGTTTGTGTTTGGGCTTCAGCACAAAGCTTTTTGGACTTGATGTGCACTGGTGTGAAGCTGAGAGTGATGAAAAGATCCTGTGCGAGGGGATACTGGAGTAATTTGTACATGGAGCTGATCTTCCAGCCAGTTGGCCTCTGGGAGGCTTGTAGCATCAGTACCCTAGATAACAACAAAACCAAATATTCTTCAAGAAAACATTGTATGCAAGTAGCTGAAGAGAAAAAGTTCACTGTGAACTTTCAGGCTTGTTCTTCAGTACGTAACAGCACGCACTTCAGTCTGACAGATTTTGGACTTGACACTCTTTCCAGCCTAGTTCTTTAGTTACTTTGTTGGTGTCTATTCTCTTGATTGTACTTGAAATTCCAATAACATTGCTGGCATTTGCATCTGTGGCTGTGCGGATGGTTTCAGGCCTCCATTTTCTTTTGGGGGGAAAAAAAAAATCTTTGAAGTGTGACATAACTGCAGCATTTCTGCTGTGCAAAGGAATTTGTGATTTTACTGAGCTAGGGAATACCTTGTAGAAAGAGGTCTTTTATGTGCTATACTATTACTGTTCTCAGATTCAGATTTCACTCATCTTAAAAGGTTAAGTTTCAAATTTAATCAACTAAAAATTTTGTGCTTTTTTTCAGTTACTTTGGTGACATTTCAGATTCTTTCTGAAATGCAAAACCTAATGCAGTATCTTTAATGATAATAACACTAATATTCTAAAATAATTAAAAATCCCCAATATGTGCAGTCCAGAATTGAATAAACTTTATTAAATTAGTTTGATGATTGTCTATTCATGTTTTTTGCTGTCTGGATTGTAAGAGCTCTGTGGGTTTTGTTTTCATAAGCAGCAGGTGTCCTCCTGGACAATGCTGTAGAGATTAGTCAAATGGAGACTGGGGCGCAATAGAAGCATTTTGAAATTCAAAAGTCAATGAGAAGTCATTTTAGGAACTATGAAAATGAACATGTAGAAAAGGATAATGAAGATCATGAAAATGAACATGTAGAAAAGGATAATGAAGACTGTGAATGCAAACTGTACCAGAGGGGTGCTGTGTGGAATGACTTTACTCCCCTTTCCACCTCACATAGCCAAAGGGAAACCTCTGTGGGGTGGGGTGTGCTGGCTGACTGATAAACCATCTGTATCAGCCAGCATCAAGAGCTGTGTTGGGTTTCTGCCCTGTTAAAAACCTCAAACCTCAGCCAAAACCACTCACTGTCAATTCTAAAATTAGTCCAAGAGAAAGCAAGGATATTAGTTGATTGTGTGCTTTCTGCCCTCCCGTATCACTCTCTTACCTGCTAACTTATATCATCCTGCGGTACTGAGTACTCCAGTGTAATCCTTGGTCATCTCTTTTTTCTGAATTATTGGGGAACTGGTGTAGGAGCCTGTGAAAACACATCTAACAACAACATGTAAAGCGAGATGAGCTTTGCAGATGAGAAGCTGCATCTCCTAAAAAAACCAGCATAACATTTTCTTCCTAGTATCTCCCTGGGGCACATGACCTTGTGCTGCAAGAAAACCTAACAGGGCTTGTAGGGGTTGTCTCTCACCTCACGCCCACTTTGCCATCACATTGGGGATCTGCTGAATGGTGCAACTGGAGCAGAAAGCAGGGGAGGTGACGGATAGCATGTGGAGTATAAAAACTAGACACACAGGCAGTTAGAACAGGGGCCATGGCTTTTTTAAGACGTCCTCTGCAAAACAGATACCAGGTCTCTTTGAACAGCCTGACCCTATGCTAAGAGGATAAACCTACTGCTAAGGAGGGTTCTGGGCTCACTGTTGAATGCTCCAGGAGTCCTTTTCTGAGATAACCACGTAGGGAATTAGTATGAAAGGAAGGCTGTTTTTGGCATATGTCTTGTGCTTCTAAGGGGTTTTGCTTTGCTCTGCTGATAGAGCAAAGGGAAGGAGTAAGTCATGTTTTGTGCCTCCCTGTGAATAGGAGGGGTTTTTATGCATTGATAATCCATGTTTTGTCCATATAGGTTTTACAGTCCAAGTGGTGTTTCGCCTCTTCCTTTGACGTTTATTCTGCAAGCTGCAAATATATATAATCAGGCTGGGGTTTTTTTTTCTGTTCATCGTGAGTTTTTCTGCATGCAGGTGTATTTGATTGTTGTTGATAGACTCCAGTGCTCAGGATGACATAATTCTTCTGGAGCTTGGCGCTCCTGGGGAGGCTGCAGACGTTGACCTGTCACCCTTCCATCTTCCCTCAGCAATGTGAGGGACACTTAACTCTTTGTCTTTATTTTCTGGTGTGTTACTTTTCTGTGGCAGTTCTCTGAACTCCTTCTGACTTACCTGTCATTGCAGATCTGCATAGATATTCTCGGGGCATAGACTGTTTTTTGTTGGACCTTCCTTTCACAGGATAAAAGACCTGATTTTCTGCTGCAAAACTGCTTTTTCCTTTTTTCCTCTGCCATTTCCCACTGTTTTGTGTTTATTGTGGACTTTTACATAGTACCCATTGCTATGGTGTGTATATGTTTGTATAGATATTTTTTATAGGTATATATATATGTATACAAAACAATGTGACCAGCAAGGCTATCATGTGTCTTCTTCAGAGGGGTAGTTTTATTTTTATAGTGCTACTTTTATTTGTGAAAGCTGAGTTGAAGAACTTCATCTAGTACACTCATATTTAACTTGCCATCTACTGTAACATCTGTTTTTTTCAACATTACTGCTTCCCAGATTTTTCCCTCCCACTGCATGGGGTTTTTTGGATCATTTCCCTTCACTTATCTTAACCTGCTTTTTTTCCCAGAATGAATCTCATTTGATTATTTTGAGACTGCATTTCTATTCTTTCTGAGTCCCTGTGCATTATTTCCTTGTCCCCATTTTTGCAGCTTCTCCAAATGCGATGTTTCCTGGAGATTCAAGTTAGCATGCTGTCTAGAGTCTCTTCTGGATCATTAAAGAAAGTACCAAGTGAAATAGAACCCAGTACAGGTCTTAGCAATATTGCAGCTTCTTCCAGTGTTATCCTTTGCTTTTATCATGATTTATTTGCAGCCGGTTTTCAAATCAAGCCAAAGCATTCATCTCAAAGTGCAAATCACTATCAAATGTTTACTAAATTTCAAGCACATCACATCTGGTCCTTTTCCTTAGATTCCTAGTGCTATAACACTAGCCAGAAAAGGGGCCTCTTTCTAGCCAGTTTTGCTCTTCTGAATAGAAATCACGGTTTCATTGTCCTCAGGCTTGTAGCCTGGTTTACTTTATAGGAAGCCTCATGAATTAAAACAGCTGTGCAGCCCATTGTGAAATTCGGTTTTGTGGAGAAACAGGGCTGGGAAGAAAACAAGGGGAGTTTACACGTGTAAGGGGGAGAAAGAGAGAAGAGGGATATGTGTGTGCCAGGAGGAGGGGAATCACTTTTATCTGCATGTGTAAAGTCAAGTCACTGAGGGTTGGCAGTTAGGAATATTTCTGAAGAACTTCTCAAATCCCTGAATGCTCTTGTGTTTCTAGACAATGACTTTCATATAGTTAAGTGCTTTGCACTGTCCTGCTTTGCTTTCCTGTAGCATTCAGTGCTGTTGATATTTGAAGCTATGGCCAAGACATGAGATAACATCAGCAGCCACTACCTCCTAACTGGGCACCTTGGAATGTTCCCCTGCTGTAGCTCTTATCCAGGTATCTCTGACACAGAAAAGCCATAACACTTCAGACTTATGGTAAAAGGACCTTTCTCACTCATAAGTACAACAGATAAACAGCTGTTCTGGGTAAGAAACAAAGGAATTGAGGCAAATACGAGGAGATGACAGGGACCGTAGGATAAAAAGTGAGAGGATGCTTAGCCAAGAACTCTTTCAATGGGTAATGTGAATTATAGTCTCTGGAGATCAAGCAGAAGGCATCTCATTCATGGCTTTTTGCTTTGACCTGGCCATAATTAAATCTCAAAAGTTTCTGGTAACAGTAGTACCCGCACTGCGCTGGTTAGAACAATATTTTATACCAGTGATTTAAAAGGATCGTTAATACACCTTTTCAACTGGGGCAATTGGCTGGAAGCAGACAGAAATAAATTTAATCTATTTTTCTAAAAAGGCTTTACCTATATTATTGGGTTGCATACCATCTTCTCTTCTCTTGCCTGCATCCCCTCCTCCACCTGGCTTTTGCTATCTTCTCACTGCTCAGCCTGGACCACCTGCCGTGATGGGAAGGATGGCACGTGGCAGTCTGGTTGTTGGTATCTGTAGTATCAGGTCCCTGGTGGAGAGCAGGATGGGGCTAGGGGAAAAGCATAGGATGTGTTTTGCACTGATGAAGAAGCCTGAGTTGGCCTGCAGGTGAAAATTGTTTCTCTTTTGGTTTTGGGTTTTCTTGAAAGAAGCGCAGCTTGAGCAATTAGCACAAATACTGCTATTGAGGCTCCTGATCTAAGCTTTAAGATTATTCCTAGTATGTTTAGTACTGTTCTAGTGAGACATCAGAGGAATTGAATCTAGCAAGACATTATGAAGAGATGTTAGAAACTATGTTTTGTAATAACCTTACAAATTTTCATATAATGTACTGACAGCTGCCTTCAGCATTGTGGCAACTGCAGGCCTAGATATACCTCAGAAATGCCTTTCTTGTTTTCCTGCTTTGTGTTACATTTTCCACCTGGAAAATCCCTTTTTCTTTGTTGGCTGCACTAAAGAAATAGGGCCAAAAAGACTGTAACCACCTCAAAGTTTGCAGTCCCAGCTTTATTTGGGCACATAGGACTGTGATCTCTCCCTCTGCTTTCTCCTCCTCCCTCCTCTCCCAAGAACCTAAATCAAACAGTCCAGACCTAAAGACCAAGCCCAGACCTAACACATGCCACCTATCCCAATCTGTTTGACCTTACTCTCCGCTGAAACAGCACAGTACATGGATTTTGACCGAGTCAGAAAGTATCAAGGAGTGTCTGAGATATGCAGAGCAACCTGGGAGTTGCACGTGTCTGCTGATGCTCCCCTTCATCGTGGCTGCACAGGTGGACCAAGGAGTAGGGGGAGCCTTCCAGCTCTGCAGTCCCAGGAACAGGACTAGCAGTGGTCTCCCATTTCCCTCCTCTGCCTGCTCTGCTCAGTGTAGCCAGCAGGTCGGTTCACTGTCCACTGAGTACTGCTACAACCAAAGGATTTGTTTTTGCTTTGCTTTATTATTTAATACAATGATAAAAGGAACCACTCCTTGTGATCATAAAGAGAAGCCTTAAAATCTTATTTAAGAGCACAAATATTTTGGGTTTTGACAGATACGGTTTGAAAATAACACAGATGTGCGGTGTCAGATTTCACCACTGCATGCAGTGTCTTTGTTTCAAACTGTAATTTTGGTAAATTTCGTTAATAGTGCTGGGCATGTGCTTTCCCAAAACCTTGCCCCCTGCAACCCAGGAAAAAAAAGTTTCTGGGTTGTGGGGTTTTTTTCCCCTGAATATACCCCCTTAGAGAGTTTGAAAGGAAAATGATCTTCGCAGAGTGAGCATTCAGCCCTGAAAGGCTACAAACCTATGGGTTATTTTTAACCTAATTACCTCGAATTAAACAAAAGCTTAAAGATTTTTTTTGCTTGAGTTGAAGATGAGGGCAAAGAAGGCTTTATTTGCAGAGCAACTCTAGCCAAGAACATGCTTCTTCCATTGCACTGTGCAGAATAATGCCTGTGGCAGTGCACTGCGGTAATGAATGGCGCTTGATTTTCTGAAGTACTGGCTTTTATGAGTTGATGTGAGAGGATACACAGCTCTAGAGCAGTTCACTCCTTTCCCCTTCTCACCCCTCCTACGGATGCAGTGATCACTTTGGACTGGTGATGTTTTAGATGGAGCACGGTCTCCTTACACTTGCCTGGCAGTGGCTCATTAACTGCATGTTAATTGAAACTGAAAGTTTGTCAGATGATTCAATTCAGTTACATGTTAAATGGATTCAGTGCAGTAAGCATTACTGCTGTGATGAAAATCTCTGTGGAATTGATTTGTGAACTGATTTGGAGGGACTCATTGGCTTCATCAGCAGCTCTGAGAGATCGGCATCAGGAGAGCGAGCAGACATAGCCATGCTCCCAGCAAAACAAATCCTACTCTTCTCTTTCACCCTAAACAGTTTTAATTACTGCCCAGTGTGTTCCCTTTCCAGGACATGTGTTAGAAAAATTTACTCTGGAGAGCTGAGAAGTGAAGAAGAAAATGAGAAGAATTGAAAGTCTGTTTTGAATTCTGTAATCTAAATGGCTGAAATGTCTAATTCCTTATCTTTCAGTGGATCAAGCAGTCACAAAATTTTCCTAAAGTTTGTTTCAAACATGAGCATATGTTACCAAAAAAAACCAAGGAAAAAAAAATCTGCTTTAAACTGAAGGACTGAAAAATCAAAATTTACATCCTCCATATCTCATCTTTTATACTTGGCCACTGCGAAAGTCCCTCTTAAGTTAGGAATTTATTCTGTATGCTGTACCTGCTTATGTGCTTGATTTCTGTGTGGAGCCAATTTTTATTGCTGAGTTATAAACCCTTTGAAAATAGGGGCTTGTAATGGAAGTGCTGACAGACCTTTAGTTAGGTCAGTTTTATCTGGCTCCATTATCTTTGCTTTTGTTAAAGCATTAAATGGTTGCAGATTTGTTTATTTTTCTCACAGTCCCAGAATTTTAACATGGGTATGTTATTGAATTGTTTTTTCTTCAAAATGTCATGAACACGCAGCATTAGAGAGTTTATCCAGACTCTGCAGTCATCTTTAAAAGTAAATTGAACTGTTGTGTCTTATTTCAAGATTTTCTTGCTTATAAAGTACATTTAGTCTGTAACATGTCATTGCAAAACTAATACCAAAATTTCCTTTTTCTCTTGCTATCTTATTCTAATATTGAATTCTGCTCTGTCTTCTGAGCTCCTTTCTGTGTAAAATGACAATGATTTTTTTTGTTTGTCCCATTCAGATGAAAAGCCATACCACTGCAACTTTCCTGAAGAAGAAACCCCAATGATAACATCTCAGTTGGATGAACTCCCAAAGCTGGGAAGCCGCAACGCCAGAGAAAATGAGGCCAGGGAATCTAAACCAGAGATTCCTGCCCTGATGCCAGCACTGGAGAGTGTCATCAAGGAACCCTTTTCGAAATACCAAGGTTCTGCAGACATGAAGGTGCCAGCATTTCATCACAGCCAGGGGCTTCCTTACTCCAGTCACATCGCTAGCTTTGCTTCGGGTGTGGGCCAGACATCTTCAGACGTGGTCATGGACTTGAAAACATCGCTTGAAGTGCAGGCTAGTCGTGCTAGAAAAACTTTGCTAGACTTGCACAGGGAGCATCCTCTGATAGAAAAAGGTGCTGAAGCTCTAGAGGTAGCTCCACTCGATTTGAGTGAAAAATCAACAAGGGATAATTCATGCAATAAATATCTGAATACATCCTTCCAGGCTGCTTTAATTGTCTACCCATGTCCTTTCTGCAGTCACAAGACCTACTACCCAGAAGTCCTGTGGATGCACAAAAGAATTTTGCACAAAATCAGCTGTAACTCGATGGTACCCCCTTGGGTTCAACAGAATGGATTCAAGAGTATTAAAAACAACCTGGTCTTTCTGGCAAGGAGTGGGCGCACTGGCCCCCCTCCTGTTCTTGGTGGTAAGGAATGCCAGCCTTTGCCCATTGCCAGATTTACGCGTACTCAAGTGCCAGGTGCATTGCCAGGTTCCAAAAACAGCTCTCTCTCTGTTGGGATGACTGCAAAGTCTGGTAGTACGCATCAGTCAAAGGACAGTCATGCCTTCAGCCACTGTGGTCCACGCTTATCGGGTCTGGATGCATACAGACAGCCCAAGTTAAACCATTCCCAGGAGCAGTACAGCATAGCAGCACAACAAAAAAGTAAATATGAAGCAAATTCCAAACTTATGCAAATGGGAACCTATAGTAGAAGCATAACGCCTACACAAACAGTCATATCCAGGCCTAGCACACAGCCTACAAACAGTAAGCAAGTGGAAAAGTATGTGGTTCCCCAGGGAAGTACCGGTTTTGCCCCTCCAGGTAAGCACTGTGCATCCGACTCCATGAAGGCCAAATACAACCCACCGCTGCAGTATCATCCTCTGTGTAAAAGCGAGCAGTACACTAAACATGAAGAGCCACCAGTGCCTCAGAGAGAGTCTCACATGAAGGCTGGGAATGAGATGAGGACATTGGCAAACTGCACAGCGGTAGCGCGAGCAAGTCCGGTACTGCAGCCCCAGCCTAGTACCGTGGGAGTTTCTCCAGCTTTACACTCCAGCAAACAGGATGTGGGATCAGATGTGCATGAGAAACATTTGGACATTTTAAATATCTTTAAAACATACATTCCAAAGGACCTTGCTTCATTGTACCAAACCTGTGGTGCCAACAACCCTGCCCTGGATCACACAGGTAAGATTTTTACAAGCCCTTCCATAGCTGAGGACATAGGCTTGCTTGTTCCTGCTTCATTCAGAGCCACGACATACTGTTTCCCAGTTTTTCCCTTCTCTGCCTTAACGGTTGGGATTACAAGTTCATTGTTTTTATCATTGCTGGATAGGCTTGAATAGGTTTGTTTACTGCTCTCTTAACACTGCAGCATCCCCCCTTGTGCACTGTGTGACATTTCTGTCACAGGTTAAATGTATCTGGTTCCACCTGGAGTACTGCTGTTCCTTTGTCCTCTTGCTTCAAGCAGGCTAGAGTTACACAGATGTGCTGTCACTGGAAGATCTCCCTGATATGCTGGTGCTGGCACACATCATCATCTTTTTGCTTCAGGCAAAATAAACATCCTCTGGGGCTTATCTGTGATGTTATTTTGGAGGTTTTGTTCAATTTTGTCTGCAAACAAGTCTTCCAACAACAGAGAGGAATAATCACTTGTCGTTGTCCTTTGTCTTCCTTGACAAAAGTCTTAAGATCTTCCTTGTCCATGTCAAAGATTGCAGCCGTATTTTTTAAATGAGTCTTTTGATCTGTTTGTATGTTTATAATTAAAAGGAGGTAGGGCTGAATACATGCCTGCTAATTCACATAAGCAGAAAAGTCAGTTGTGCAAATAGCCAGTTTAAAAGTTCAGGGACTAAAAAAGTTCAACTGCCATGTTAAAAAAAAAGAAATCTATGTATTTACATTTGAAACCATACTCTTCTGATGATCTGCCAGAATTAGTTTGTCTGAGTGGAAACTGAAAATCATGCTGATTGACTACACTTGAGGTGGAGGTGTGTCTGTAGGCGAGGAGAATGGGAGCCAAAGTCTCACCTCTCACCATTTATAAACCATCCCAGTTTTTTATACCTTTCTTCTCTTTGTAGAAGTTGTGCAAATAAACTCCCAGAGTGGTGTTCTAGTGTCCTTACCAGACATAATGCCCTCTGGTTTGTCAAAAGTATGTGTGAAATGGAGCTTGTGACCCCATTTTGCAAGTGGCACAAAGTCCAGGACATTTGGAAGCTGGTAGTCTAAGGACAGCTATGGTGTGTAAGGACACCCAGAAGGTGTGTGAAAGTTGACCACTCTGGTAGCTGTAAGGCAAGGAAGGAGCCATAATGTTTGATCAGATCTTGGTGGAAGGACCTTTTGGAGAAGACAGGAAGACAAGATCTATCTAACATAGCCCATGAGATGCACCTTTAAGCCACTCTGTTGTCAGCTTTGCTCAGTCATTTGACAAGTAATGCTGTGTAGGGGGCAGCTGTTACTTACTGAGCAGATCATTTTGCAGGTGGTTAGGGGCTACCTGATGATTGTAACGAACCCCAGGCTCCTGGTTGTTGTTAACAAAGCAGGAGAGGATATGCTCAGTTTCTAAAACTGCAGGGTTTTTTTTTCCCAGTGCCTAGGAATGTTGTCTAAAGTTTCTCCCTGCTCACTTCCTGCTCTAAATACCAATGAATTCACCACCAACTTGGGGTACCTTCATATGGGTGCCTACCTTGATGTTATTTAATATTACGTTGTGTCAACCTGCTCAGCAAAATCTTACTGATACAGTGAGCTCCCAGCCGTGTTAGGAGGGATAGAGAAAAACAGTAAAAGCTAGGAACTAGAAGCTGAATTATTGAATGCAGGCATCAGAAAATTCATTGTGACTGTTGGAACAAAGTAAAATAGGGGAAGGGTTTCCAAAGAGGTCTCTCTTTACCTGCTTTTTGAAAGAGGGATTTTATTGGCAAAACGTTTTTGCTGTGCAGTGATTTCCAGAGACACTTTAACTGGAAGTTATTTAGTGCCCATCTCTGCTTTGAAACCTCTTCGTTCGTTCCAAGTGTTTTACAGCAATCAAGTTTTCAAAATTTGAAGCCTTTTTTTTTTTTTTAATGTAGCTTGTCTTCATTTTATATACAACTTCCAGGTTGTTGATGTTTCTCCAAACCATTTGGCATGATGGCTGTTTTTCATAGCCCTCAAATAAAAAGCTGCTTCAGGCAAAAGGAACAAGATCCTACCAAAAAAAAAAAAGAGGAGGGTAATTGAACTTTGTCTGAAATAACATGTGGGCCTAGATAGGCTGAGCCCTGTGAGTCAATATGCATCATACAATTTAGCCTTTATCTCATAATGTGAATATGGCAATCATGACATGAAGGACAACCAAAAATCCTGCTTAGGTATACTATTTGTCATGTTTTTCCCTCAATGGAGTGTTTGTCCTTGGAAGAGAGTTGTTGTATGTAGTGTTGTGATACAGCTGCAAACACAAAGCTAGCTGTACTTAGGTTAGTTTGTTTCTGATATGGTTTGAAGCTGGCTCCCTGCCAAGTCTCCAAACCTTACCACCAGAAGTCCCCCCCCCCCTCCCCCCAAACCTCAGGGAGAAGAGGGAGAAAAAAACTAAGAAAAACCCGAAACGAGAGAGAGACAACCAAAGTGAGATATATAAATATATTTACACTTATATACAATTAAAATATACAATTTCACAAGGGAAAAGGGAAGGGGGAAGGGAAAGGGAACAAAACTAAAATAAAATATATATATATCCCAATTAGTGACCCAATATCTAACAACTAAAAAGTTAGCAAAGAAAATAGCTCACTACTCTCCTGGGACAACCGAGAGTTGCTCCGGAACAATCGCCGGCAACCTCCGTCTCCCAAGGTCGGCAAGGCCTTACCAGGCCTCGCTCCCCAACACGACAGACTCAACAGCAGGGAACCTGCACCTCCAAACCACCGGAAGGAAAGAGAGCAAAGGCCTCTCCTCCTTTCTTCTTATAATCTGATTTACGTAAAAATCGTAGGGAATACTGGGTAAATCTGGACCCTTCCTTGGTTACAAACTGGTCACCAAGGAAGGCCTAGCCCAAACCACCACAGTTTCACACTGCCCAATCTTCCCAAATGCTTGTAGGGAGAATCTTACTGTTATCTTTAATAGTGGTTATTTATTTTGTTCATGATATTTACAGGAATTGCCATATTAGTAAAGGCTGGGTTATGGCAGCAGATGCACTCTTTCTCTGGGTCTCCTTTGAGACCAGCTTTGAGCATCGATTTCTCAGGAACTTCCATTCAGATAGTCAGGTTCGTTTACCTGTAATTTGCTAAGACCTGTAGTCATCCACCCTCTTTTGTTCACGTGTAGGATAACCTGAGTGATGACTCATGGGGGTATTGCCTTGTGGCAGTGATGCCCATGGCTCAAAGCTCTAAACTATCAAAAGCCTTATGGTGCTGCTTAGGAAATACAACAATGGCAAATATACCTGGAAGTGACGCATTTTTTCCACCTGCTTTTTGAATAACTACCGTAAAGTGAGAGCTAGGGAGGGGTTAGATGAAAGTCTTACACCCACTCATCTTCGGCATTCATACAGGGTATGTTGGCTTACAACAGCATCCTCAACCTTCCCTCACGCACGACTCAGGTGGGAGCAGTGCTTCCATGAAGGCTATTGGATTGGGTCCGTAATGGCTGCTGAGACAAGTGTGTTCACCTTCCACAGAGGGAGACGTGGGTTGTAGAGGGATTAAATCTCTTTCCAGAGGTGTCAGAATGATGACCTGAGGAAGCTCTCCTGGGCTTCATAGGAGCTGCTCTGCCAGTCTCTGCCTGTCCAGTAGTTGGCATGGGGCAGTCCAGCAAAGGCTACACCTGGTTTCTCAGGACAGCTCCTTCCGCTTTTTGCTTTCAAGTTTTCAGCTACAGTTCTGGCCAGTGAGGGGAAAATGCTAGTAATAAATCAGAAAACCTGCTTTAATCTTGGCTGCCTTACAAGGCAAATCTGTCTCATTATAGTACCGTAAGGCTCTCATTGATATGTGATTCTTTTTTTTAATATTATTTTTTTGAGGTTTTTGTTTGTTTGTGTTGCTGGGTATACCCGATGGGGATTTTTTCCAAAATCACAATCTTCTATTTGATTCCCAGAAACTTAATTCTTGAGAGCAGGAGTGTTCAAGTATATTATACAGACTGTGCTGCCATCTGCAGGAGGTGCTGTTATAAAAGAAAAGAACAATTTGTGAGTGGGGCATTTGCTTGGGGTTTTTTGTGGTTTTGTTTTTGTGTTTGTTTTTTTTTTTTTATTTTGTTTTGGGTTTTTTTTGCAACCAGACATTTCTTTCCAATATATGGTCTGGTGAAAACCATGACAGGACGCTTGGTGTCATAACAGCAGAGTATAAATGGCAGCTGTCTTCTTTTCCATACATCTTTAGGTGCAGCATCCATATTTTGGATGAGTCCTCTGGCATCCTGCAGTTGATTTTTCAGTTGTGTGGAGGGTTTTGGTTGCCACTTTTTTGTTCATAATTTTATTCTTTTTAAATGCTGGAACAGGGAGGGGAGTATGAAAGAAAAGCTGAAACTTCACTTCTGTTGACAACCCTCTCAGAATTTCTTTAAAAGCCAAAGTATTCCAGTGGCAACTGGAAACATCAACTCTTTCCTTCCGAAGAGGGCGTTTTACCAAAATAGAAAAGATGATGTTCAAACATAATTTTTTTTTAATAGTAAAAAAGCCCAATAAAAGTCAAATGTGTCTTTTTTGATCAGCAGCAAAAAGACAAAGACCAGCCCTTTAAGTCAGATGCTGTAAACTGACCTTTGGAGAAAAAGGAGAGGTTTGAGCGGTTTTCCACAAATGCTAATGGCCTAGAAAACATGTTTACCCAGGGCCGGGGGAAGGCTGCTGCGCTGCTACCAGCTCAAAATGTCCGGAATGACACTTTCATTCACAGATGTCTTTCGTCTGTGCCTCAGAGGTCCAGGGTCAAAGCAGCACCGGCAGGCAGGTAGGCAGGGGCGAAAGGTTTGATCAGTCTGCGATGGCTCCGCTCACTCTGCATTTGTCTCTGAGGTATTGCCGCCTGGGGGGGACAGTCGGGCTCTGGTCCTACTCACTTCCTATTATCCATGTGACTTGTCTCCGCCACGCTGGAGTCACTTTGATTTGCCTGATGTACTGCTTGACAAAGCTGGGTGATGGCTGAGAAGTGGATCCAGCTGCTCTGAAAAGCGCACACCTGACATGCCAGTCCTGGTGCGGGCACATCATGGGGAGCATTTTTTAATTCAATGTAATTTATGCATTCTTGCAGTCCTGTGTGTGCCTGGCCTGTCAGCCAGTGCCTAGATGAAGGCTGACAGTTGTCATCCAGGGCCTGAAGGTAGCCTCACATAATGACACATTAGACATACTAATGATGTTTTCTTCTGGCATAATGTTTTCTTCTCAACTTTCCTCTCTCCTCTTTCCACCCCCCCAACCCCCCCTTCCTCTCCCCCCCTCTCTCCTGACTACAGGGATGCTCAGGACACAAACACGCCAAGGAGACTGTGTCTGCAGAGAATGTGGAAAATGCTTTACCCAACCCAGTCACCTCAGGACTCATCAGAGGTCCCACACAGGTACCTTTTCACACTTGCTCTTTCTTTCTCCCTTTCCCACTTGCCTGCTTTCAGATTCTGCTAACAAAATACCAAGAATTACATTTCACATCCCATGTTAACCTGAGTAATTCCAATACCTAAATCTAATAGACAGGGGGGATTTTTTATGACTTTTGTTCTTGTTCTCCAGATATTGCTTACCTGATCCCTGCCCAAACTCCATAAAATTGCAATGCATTTAAGATAACTCTGTTTGCAAATGTTTTATTTTAATTAGAGAGTAGGGTACTCAGAAATGAATATGCTAATGAATTCTGTTGCCACCAGCACAAATTGAAATCAAAGTACCCCTTTCAGCACAACATAAGGCTTTGTTTTGCCTCATCGTTGCTGTTGACAGGAACATTTTTGTGGGAAACAAGATTTTTCCTCAGACTGGTCAGCCCTAGCAGCCATTTTTAACCTGACACAATCTGTGGTTGAGGCTGGAGGAGCCTAAAGCCACCGGTGCCTTGAGACCTCCTGAGCATTGCATGAGACAGTGAGACTAGCGGGTTCCTCCCCAAAAGTGTGAATGATGCATACATAAGCCAGTCTGATGCAAAATGACAGAAGCCAAATGGTAAGTAATGCAAGAGGAGGGTCCCTTTACACATATACTGATAATTAATGTTGTCAGTGATTGCTTTCTTCAGCGCTGAAGTCTGAATTAAAAAGGGCAGTGGCCCTAGGCTGCCATTAGCACAGTCTCTTACAGTAAGTGTTACGGTAAATTGGTATTTTCCGGCCACAGGCTAGTAGCTGGTGTCTTTTTTTGAACGTGGTTAATCTGTAATGGTCTCAAATAATATACACACACTAACGAAGCTTGAATGTTCATCTGTTAACAAGCCCCCTTGTTCCCACAGTGGTATTTGAGTCTAATGGACTCCGAGGTACTGAAGTTCACACCACCTCTGCAGATGCTTCAAAACAAGTATGTTTTACAATTAATTGGATGTTTGGCTTTTAATGTGGTAGCTGGGAAAAAGTTGCACAGTAATACTCATCACTAAAGTACTGACTGTTTTATAACATGTATAAATAATAATGGTATTGCTTAATTTTTAACTCTTAAATTTTTTAAGCATTTTAACAGAATCTGTTATATAGAGAGTCAGTTAATTGTAAAGCAGGTAGTTAGTGTTTAAATAAACATGTTACTGGCTTACTGGGGACTGTGTGGGATAGGTAACTCTGTAATGTGCAGTGACATGTAATCGTGAGATAGAAATTTGATTTTACAACTAACACATTTTCTGCTGCCACAAGACAATTAACGTTTAGTCTGTATTTTTCAGATTATTTGTACCCTGATATGCAGTACCTGGCCTTTGAAAGGCTCTCATCCACCAATTTCTGTGGACTCTGTGTTGGTGTGCTTTCCTGTTTCTACTATACAGTTTCCTGTCTTAACAAACACTTCTCAGTTACAGAGAAAATCATTAAACTGAATTTGTTTCATGTATCTTACATCTTTGGAGACTAGTGTCATAACCTGGACCTTTCTACTCCATCTTGTAGCTTGGCAGGTGGGTTTCAGGGCACACCTCCTCGTGGACAGTTTTCTTTAATTGTGAAACTGCCTCCAGCATCACTCACTTTCCCTTTCATCTGCATTTTTAGCTTTACTTTTCATTACAGCAGCCCCCATCCTCCTGTCTCTTACTAAACTATTGCAGGTGGTTTTGGCCATGCTTAGATGATTTTGGCCGTTGGTTTCTACTTTCTCAATAAACATCCTCACTGGGCACCACCACATCACCTAGTTCATATGCTGCACCCTTCATGGAAGCTTTTAGGACCTTCTCAGTTGCAGTTACATCTTTCTGGCCCAAAGGTTGTGTAGGGAACCCAGCCCTCTGCCACAGGAGCATCTTGTTAACATCAAGCCATGGGAGTGGCCAGCAATTCTCATAAAGTTTTCAAGATGGCATAGCACTTCCTTGTTGTGGGCAATGTTTGCTTTGCTTTGCGTTAATGGGACAGTAACGGCAAAGTTATTCTGTAGTGCCCTCCTCATGATGATGCTAGATAAGCATAAAATTGTGCAAGGACACATCTCTCAATAACAGAGACGGAGTGAATGGCAGAGACACAGACATGGTAAAAGTGACAGTGAAACACTGCAGCTCTGCCAACCAGCTCAGCTGGTCTTTGGTTTCCACCAATTTAGTAATGTAGATTTAGTAAACTTAAGCATCTTTTAAAATGCTCTTTCATCTTTTCATGCTTGTGGTTTTCTCTCGTGTAGTTGAGATTGGATTCTGAGGGCATCTGGGCTTCTTTCTTCTAGAAGACAATAAAAGGTCAAAGTTGGAAATACATTTCCAAAAAATTCTGAAATAGCCGTATCTATCCAAAAGGAAATGTGGCAGCTCAGACCACATCTGGACTCTTTTTGTAATTCGGGTTATATTACTGCACAATAAATTTACTCACAATCTTGTCTTTGTAGACTACTGTCATGCCAGAATTTATTGACTAACTCCTTCCATGGCAAATGTAGCTTGCTCTTGCAGTCTAAGTCCTTGTCAATCTGTCTTCAGAGCATTTGATTAAATTACAGAATGTCTCAATATAGCAGAATTCTGAGGGGGGGTTAGCTTCACGAGTCACTTCATCTCTTGCCAGTTGGTATTGCTCCCACGGAAAATGCAGTATGATCACTTCTCCAGGAGATAGTTCCCTTTCTTTTGTCTTGTTTGTTCCTCAGTATCAGCCTTTGTCTCAGTTTGTCAGTATCTGTGTCGGGTAGGATTATTCAGTTGTCTGCTGTTTTGCTTGTTCTCATTGCAAGCAGGCATTGTGCTCCCCCAGAAGACTCCACCTGCACAGTCCCTGGGCATTACAGAGGGAATACTCTCATTTCTACCTGCAGCTGTAGGGGCCTTCAGAAGCACAGAAATGAGCTCGCACTGAGAACGGTGCCTGCAGCATTCTGTTAACATTACCATTTCCCACTTTAAACGTTGTCACTCTGTGTCTTCATTTCATTTCTTAATTGGGGACAGGTCTATTCATGAGAGTTTATGGTGTAAAGTCAGTTCAAGTTACAGAAGTGCCGTGCACATGCTCCAAGCAAGAAACAATAGTTACCATGTACGATAGCCTGAGAAGGAAAGGGTGGGGTTTTTTAATGTCAAGTGGAAATGATTCACTTTACATAATGTTTCCTCCTCACAGGTAAAATATGTTCCCCTGAGTAGTCTGCTGAAGAGTAAAAATATTAACATTAGTATTTCACGGTTCCCCCATTCCCTTCTGTAGTCAACCAGAAGATCATCTCTAAAGGTTTCCTTTATGAAAGAATGTTAGCTAGGGCTTTTAAAATCCCCCAACATGGTAGCTTACAACTGTGCTTCATTATATTGCAGTCTCATCACAGATAAGACTATATCACTATATCACAGTCTTATCAATTCTAACTGTGCATGTTAAAAATAGGGTCTACAGCCAGGCTTTTTCAAAAATGATCCAGGTAAATCTATATTTAGATGTCTAAATAAGAACCCTGCATTAGAGTGGTGAACCACCAACAGGACACGCAGGCATTCGGCATCAGTGAAAAGGAGATCACCTGTAGGAGTGTTTAAAAAAGATCAAACACACATGGTTTTAATACTGTTAGCACTGGGCTGTGTTTCATGCTTTGTTGTCAGCACCAATGAAATATAAATAAAATGTAGGAAACAAAGGGTTCATTTGTAATGTTATTTACTGTGGTTTCTTATTTTTACTTGAATGCTTTTAAAAAAAAAGGACATTTTTACATAAAGTGAGTTTCCCATGAACTGTGGAATATTTCCTACTCTTCTTTATCTAAAGGACAAAAAATGCTCATTACATACCCCAAGTCAATACAATCTGTGCAAAGTCATGTAGATTCTGTTGAAATGCTGCCATGTTAAACATACTGAATATTCTGAATATTTTTATAAATGCTAAATATCCCAATGTATACATAATTATGCTTGCTTATCCACAATGAATATGTATCTTAATTTGGAATACACTAAGCAACATCCAAAGATATGATTTAGTAGGCATGAATTGGGGGAGCACACTCCAATTGCATGTACATGGCAAGACAAAAGCTGGCTCCCCTTTGGAAGGGTCCTTGCAACAGCGCGTGCCTCAAAGCAGCTGTGTGTATCTTAAAGCAAAGCTCTCCTAAAGCATGGGATCATTTCAGAGACACTGCCTGGTGCTGCAGCGTTGCAGCCAGAAGCCCAATTCCCAGTGGCACAGGAGTCAGTCTTGAGCCTGCTTTTGCAAAATGGCGACAGCAGTGATAGCAGTTTCTAATACGTATGCTGTGCATTTAATTTCTGCTTCTGCATTTTTAAAGCCATATAAAAGCTTGGCCCACTGTAGGAATATAGTCTATCCTCTATCAGTGTCAGTCAATATGCTCTAAAAATTTTAAGGGACAAGTAATTGGGTGTTCAAAAGGCATGATTTACTAGTTATCAGTGAGGAAGAGTTCTGTTTAATTGAAAGCGTGTGTGTATATATATATGTATATATGTGAAGCATATTTGCAGCTCTGGAGCCAGAGACACCAAGTTCTCTGCTTTCTTTGCAAGTGAAACAAACAAAACCCCCAAAACCCCAGCCTTTGTCCTCTGCAGAAAAACACCCTTTTATTCACAGAAAATCAATTAGAAGCTACAGCCCAGGACAAAAAAAAATAAACTGCTGGTATCATGAATACTTCTGGCTGAAGCTTTCCCCATGCCAGAAGGCACTGATGATCCTTTTCTGTGAAACAGCAGTGGGCACCACAGTTCTTGGGCCTCATTCACTGAAAAGAGAAGTGTGCAGTATGTCCTGTGTGACAGGGGTAAAACACCTTCATAAGGGGTTCATAAGCCTTAATTTTCTCCCCTAAAAGTATTTTAAAATATTTCTTGCAGTGTTCAGTACTTGAGTTAGCATGAATGTGAACAGTCAGAATTTGGGGGATACAGATTGGAAAGAACCATCAAGAAAACACTGTGCATATATGTGTATGTGTATTGTAAAGGAGCTTGGGGGAAAAGCTGGGGACATCTGTTACCTGTAATGTTTTTTTAATCCAGCAGTACTACAGCTGTGCTTGTCCTAAAGCAACTTTGGTGACGAGGGAAGGAGGCAAAAAACCCCAACCCAGATAAAAAAGTTTAAACTATTGGTTTCTGAGTCTGGCTGGTTTTAGTTTTCTTGTATTCAAAATTTTAGTGCTGTCTGTTAAAAGTCCTATTTATGACATTTGTTCTTATGAAGTGTCTTGCCCCAGTTCCTTGCAGAGTTTCTTCCAAAGATCATGATTAATAGTTCAGTCCTCATTATTGCAAATGTTATTTTTAAATAGTTATTCTGAGAACAAGAATTCCATTAATCAAAATAATAGATAATGAACAAATAAATGGCAACCTAATTTGTCTCGTTCATACATATGGAGATTATAATGCAAACAATCAAGGAACCATAGAGGCTGCTGTAGTGGCATCTGAGTAATATGCATGTACTGTATGTCTGTTACTTTGTGAGCATTAGAGACAGGATTAGCAGCTGTAGTTCTTGTCTCAACACTTTCCCCTTGCCAGCAACAGGAGTGGTATCTGTGCTCCAAACTGGTCATTGCAATTTATTTCAATGCCATGCAATAATCTGTCCTTCAGTATATTAACAGGTACACAAACTATTCTTTTCCTTTTAACTAGTGAAAAGCCCTAGAAGTTGGTATGAAAGCAGCTTTGGCATGGAAGCTCTAGGTTTCATGTAAAGATCTGCCAGTTTTTACTGAAAGTGAAGAAAGGTTCCTTTTAAAAAGGGAAAACATTTCACTTCAGGAAGAATTCTATCCAACTATGTATCAGCCAGTTCAAAATCTGACTGTATCCTTGGGCCTGTGGGAGTACAAGGGGTTGAACCACTGGGTGGGGTTTGGCACACATGAATCTCAGGTGCTGTTTCTCGGTGAAACTGGCAGCACAGATATACTTCAGCCACCCACCCACCACCTCCAGCCCCTCTGCACTGTCCTTACAGGTGTAGGGAGGATGGATTATTCTTTTCACAGGTCCCCTGTGCTGTGTGGTCCATGGCATGCTTTCACCACCCCGCAGGCTGTCCATCCCAAAAGAGCAGCCCTAAATTACAGCCCTTTTTTCAGTTCTTACCCAGGGAAACTGGGACAAGGTGCCTTCCATCCCCTTGCCTCTCTCCATCCCTCCTCCCCTATCGTGGTGAAGCCCTGCTGTGCTCCCCCATGTGTGTAGAGGCAGTTCGATACGAGACGTTTTAATGATGAATGCCTCCTCCTGGAATTGTGGCTGTGTCTCTCAGGCATGATGCAGCCACGCAAAAATGTAAAGCATCTTTCTTAGTTTACTGCAGGAAATTCAGCATCCAACTAAGGAAGTTTTATCACATCTCTCATTCAGTTACTGTTTCCTACATTTCAAATATACTGCAGTCTGTACAGCAGCTTTTTTTTTCTTTAATTTTGTTGCAAATCTTTCCGACTTAAACCAAACTTTGACTGGTAAATGTCATGAATCTCAGGCCAGGTTTAATTAGGAATTTTCTAAATCTATTAACAAAAGAGATGCACTTAATACATTATGTCAACCAGAGCTGAGCTTTCTTTAGCTATTTCGAGGGCTGCCATAGGCACAGCTTGAAACTTGCTTGGATTTTACATGGGTGCTGTATTTTATGTTGCATTAATTTAAAATGGTCTGTTTCACTTCATCAAGACTTTAGCTTAAGGATAATGCATTTATGTAAGATTAATCTTGCCATGTTGTTTTAGGATCAGGATTGTAAACTGCATTGTTCCGACAGTGATGTTCTAAATGTCATTTTAAAGCTTTTCTTAGGAGCTGCAGGCTTCCACTTATTCATGATGTTATCTTTAATTTCACTTGATTTTAGAATATTCCTGCTATTTTTTCCAACATGGTAATTATTCATGAAAATTGGCTAAGAAAATAGAAGAAAGATGACAAGGGGGGGGCGAGTGGAAAGCCGCCTTAGCATTTGACAGACCTGCCCAAGAATTCAGTTTTTCTTCATTCAGCTGCCTCTGTGACCTCAAACTTCAGCCTTTTTAAAGCGCTGATCTAGTTATGAATCCTTTTTGGCTAGCACAAAATTCCACTTTTTGGAGACCTCTTCTTTCCCTCCTTGTTCTCAGCCTTTTCTGAAGTGCTCCATCAGACACTATGACTGGCTGTTGTAGTTGAAAGGGGACTTTATATGAGCCTGACACACTTTGCTCTTGGTGGAGATGTTTTAAAAAAAAAAACCCAAAACAAACTAAAGAGCTTCTCATGTGGTGGGTCAAGATGAATATACGTGATGCTAATAAAGGTTAACAAACACCAGCAGGACTTGCTGGAGGGTCATGCCTGGAAGCAGAGGCGAGAATGAGCTTTTTCCCCATGTTGTCCTTCTTGCAGGGGAGAGACCACGTCGGTGCGGAGATCACCCACACGCTGCATCTCCGAAAGGGAACCTAGAGCCTTGGCAGAGGAGCCCCGGGGCCAGCAGCCCCCAGCCCGAGGGGCAGCGCCAGCAGCCCCCCACGCAGAGCAGAGCAGCCCCCCTGCAGCCATCGCCTCGCCCGGAGCTGCTGCGCGAGACTGAAACCAGCGCTCTGCCAGGAGGGGGGGTGCCTCTGCGCTGTTAATCATTTTAAAATAAATGAAGATGCTACACAAGATATATATAAATTGACGTACTAATCAGTCCCAAGGTTCCTTATTTCCTTTATAATAAACAGTGGAGTTGGCAAGCACTGTGGCAGCACGAGGCATCTATATTAATCAAGAGAAGTTTGAGACACTGGAAAAATTAAACTTTATGTGATTTGGACAGCATGAAGAAGTTAAGCGCTGTAACAAAAACCTCCCTGATGCTCACAATGACTATTTGATACATTTGAAAAACAGCAGTGGATTTGAGGGCTGGAGAAGTATTAATTAATGAAACTGCCACTGCCTGTCATGCTGAAAAGCAAATTAAAAAAAAAACAAAACAGAGAGAGGAAGAATGAGGGGTGCGGGGGGGGGGAAAGGTGGCATTCGGTGCTGAGAAAGCAATGTTTGATGAAGGATTAAAGGGACTAAAGAGAAAGACCGTCATTCTGCAATGGTTTGTTTCATTACAGTTTGGGGACCACTTGCATTTCTAGTACTCTTGCTCTTGACTGCGCACCATTAATAGTATGTGAATATGGAAATTGAAACACTTCCAGAGAAAAGCTTCTATTCTGCTTTGGAACAGAAAAGCTGGTCGAACACTAAGAAAAAAACAGGCTTCTGTGTTTTACTCTCAGGACCTTTTTTTTTTGTAACAGGGCTACTTTCTTCAACCTGATCACAAAGGAAGTCTTCACTTAGAGAAAAAAAAAAAAGGAAATAATAAAACATTCAGCTGTCTAATGCCACTGATCTCTCTGTTTAGAAGAGAAAAGGTGTCACTGAATGAATTCAGGCAGCCCTGGGGCTGTAAGGTGCTCTCTGCTCTTTCATTTGGTTAGCAGGCCAGCTACTGCTCCTCCTTGGGCCCAGTGATATTCTGGAAAAACGAGGAAACTTCTTTTGTGGTGGCAGGTTCATGTTCATATAAATGTGTCATGTCTTGTACTTGGTGATCACTGGTGGTGTTAGGAAAAAAAAAGAAAAAAAAAAAGCTTTATATACCTCTTCTACAGTAACTCTTTAACTGCAAGTTTTCTAGGTGGGGTTGTGGCACATAACAGGTTGTTAAACCATGCAGTGTAAGCAATTAAAAATGTATTCCACCGATTTAAATATTTTCTTTTCTTATTGCTGTGACACTATGTGTGATGGTAATATTTCTGAGAGTTTCAGATTTTGCACATATAATTTTATGCATTATCAAAAGTTACTGCTGCCTTGAAAGAAAATGTTCTGTGAAAATTTTTGCAAAAGCTTTACTAGTTTGTTTTTTTTAAATTGTAACATTTTGTAAAGGCAGGAAATGGAGTTAAAAACCTAGCATGCTAAATATATTTTTCAAAAAAGCAATAATTTTACATGTACAGAAATGATGCTAACCTTTAATACAGGTGAGACCACAGTTTACTTAATACAGTAATGGAATAGTGCTGTTTTTGTAGAAACGGGCTTCTGACAAAGATTTGTTAAAAAAAAAAAAAAAGGCAGAAAAAACCTTAAAGCGTGATCTTTCTATTCTAACAGTTTTGGTGGGCGGGGGTTGCTTTTTTAAAAAAATCTAGTCAGTAATTTGGTCTGGACTACTTGTTACTTGTTTGAAATTACTTGACAGGTTTTGTTACTTTGCAACACTTGCAACAATGCAAATTAACTTCCTTATGTGTTTTTTTTTAAATTAGATTTTCCTTAGGCTATTACACAAGATGTATACCAGAATCCTCTGTAAGTCTCGGTGTAGTTAGGAATGTCTGTGCAAATACTTAAAAGTGACTGTAATTAACTGTTCTGTGAAGTTATTTTGAGGGAGGTTGCATAGACACATTCCGTTGTACACCAAAAAAAAAAAAAAAACCCAAAAAAAAAAAAAAAAAGAAAAAAAAAACAACAAGAAAAGGAGAAGAATGAAAAAGTGGAAATATTTTGCTGTGTTGCTTAATGATTATCATTTTGGGTTTGCACTAGCTTTCTCAGTTTGTCAGTTTGTTTTGGTTTTGGTTTTTGGGTGGGGGGTTTTTTGTTTGGTTTTTTGTTCTGTTTTGTTATTTGTTTGTTTGTTTTGTTTTGTTGCTTTTCTGAGTCACATTTTCCATGAAAGAAAGTATTGGTGACAGTTCAGGAATGCACAAAAGCTAGTTGCCTAATCTATTTGTTTGTGGTTTAGTTATTAAAAACTCTTCTACACCCAAAATGGCACAAAAGTGTAGTGTACATTTGTAATTTCTCTCCTTTTTTTAATTGTATTTTTTTGGCAAGCTGAACTAGAAAATCTGAGTTAATATTTAGAGCCAAAACCTTCTTTCTGGAACTTTTCTTCCAGAATCCATGACAGAGAAGCTAGTGCTGCCACTGCCATTACCAGGGTACTAATCAGCAAAGTTTACAATCATAATTTAGCTTCACGAAGAACAACAGTAGGGGAAATCAGTTTAAATAATTATATGCTGTGTATAGCAGAGAAATGAGATTTTCACTTAATTAAACAAGAAACAAGAGTGGGTGGAGGAAAGCCAACCTTAAAGACCATCTGTTTTCACAAGAGAATCCCACGATTTTTGTTTTCTTCTATATCATTGTATTGTATTGATTTGTTATTTTAGTTAGGCCATAGTATTTAAAATGAGTTATGTTCCATATTTATTTAGTCAATGGGCTTTCACCAGCTCTTTTAAGCAATGTGATAAGTTTTTTTGGCATGACACACTCCTGTAAAGCCCCTTTATGACTGTTACAGGGACTTTCTACTACCTCTACCAATCTACTGTTTCTTCTTCTTAACAGGTTTTTATGGTGTTGCAAGTCTAATGTAACTTAGACAATAAAGGGTTTGATTATCTACACTGCAGATTCTCAGTGTATCTGCCATCTCTCTCTCTCTTTCCCTCTTTCTCTCTTTTTTTGTGTGTGGATTATTGCAGCTAAAGTGTAGAAGATCTCTTTTATTATAGCTGAAGTGAAAGACAGACCACCTTCACCAGGGTATTTTTGTGTCCTGAATATTGTACACTGACCAAAAGTTGAACTTGGAGAAACTTTGTCCACAGACCTAATCAGCTACTACATTGCCATTGTGCTGCTTGCATTCTTGAAATTCCTTCTGTCACAAATGCTATGTATAAATCGGTGCATTCTACAAAATGTAAAGCCAATTGGAAAGCCCACATGGTTTTTAGGCTTGTGTTTTAAAACCACTTAGAGTCCTTAGTGGAAAGCCTTAGCATAAATTTCTGCCTCTGTCGTATCAAAAACCCGGCTTTAATGAAAGCAAGTGGGTTTTATCCTTTGGAAAATACCTTCTGCTTGTTGGTGCAAAATTTGTTCTGCTGTTAACTGTAAGATAAAAATCTGTCGCTGGAAGGATTTCCAGGTGTTGACATCACATTTCATGGTAATCCCTGTAAACGTGTTGTTGCCTTCTATCCTTTGGGGTACTGTGTGTTGTGGAGCACATGTTCATTTGTCCTACTCGATGCATCAGAACATGTATGATGTTTTGAGCCATTTTACAAAATTGTATTATTCAAGTGGTAGTGCATCCCCCTGCTGTTCACTCGCTTTCATGCGCAAAGGGTTTGTGACCAGGCCTGTGTTTGATTTTGTTCTTCTTTGCTGTATTCCTGTGATGGACTACCTCAAGTGTATCTGAGCAGCTTCACCAGGAGTGCTGGAATTCACTGACACAGGTGGGGGTTTGTCCTTGAAACACCGATCTGTCACAAAGATGTGGAACAAAGCAAGGTGTAACATCTTTATTAGGTTCTTACTGTATAAAGTGTGTTGGATTAAAAGTGGAAAAGGTTGCATTTTATGACAAGTCAAATTTCCCATTGTCCCTGCAAGCCAGTAGTTTTAAGCTAGCAATTCTGTGCAAAGCACTGAATTGCAATCTTCTTTGCTTATGCTCTCTCCTTTCTCTTTTGGTGTGTTAAACAACCCCCCCACTTCAGGGCAATCCAATGTTTAGAGGCGCATTGGATTCACTGAGAGCTTGTAGGCAAGGAATGCTTGATTGGTCACAGTATTTAGAGGGTAGCACAAGTGAAATGGAGTACATTAATATATATAAGAACTTCCACTTTAGTTTTTTAATTATAAATTATGAAACGTTTGTTTCTGGAGCAGCAAGTGGTGTAAAGCAGTTGAAGATAATTGCAAGGATAGACATACTCCCCTATTAACTGCTTTCCATGGAGCTCTGTGAATGATGGCATTTTTGAGAAGGACTGTAACCACATGTTGACATCATTAGCTAGCTAAAGGTAGACAGTAGTATTACAAAGGTATTTTTGCTTGTATTTTTTCCTTTGGATTCATTAGGATTGCTTTTGGGAGAAAGAAAACCAAAACCAACTCTAAACCACAGAAAAAATTGCCTTTCATTCAAGACTGGTAGTCAAAGAGCAGATGGTACATGGGAGGAAAAAAAATCCATATGTGTTCGATATAAGAAAGTGTTTCTAAGTTACTAGCCAAAGTGAGGGATGCTTTTGCTAGTTAGAAGAGGATATGTTGTGAGTAGGAGTCAGGTAGAGATCAGGGGTTTGTTTTGTTGTGGCCTAGGTAATGGTATCAAGAGCATTAACGTGACCCATTTCTCTGGTTCTGAATACTGAGGTGGATGTTGCTCATAGACCATAAGCAAGAGAGATGAAAAAAATCACATGAAATATCAGTAAGGGGCTAAGTTTTGGCCCTCTGAAATTGAAGTAGATGGAAAGCAGTGTCTGAGAAAGGCCGAAGCTGAGGATAGGCCCAAGGAGAAACCAGGAGCAGAGTGAGAGGTTCAGAGGAGAACCACCATAGAGTAAAAAAGTTGCCAAAAAAGGCAAAGTCAACAGTCTGACAGATCAAAAGAATCTGGAAATGGAGCAGAAACTGCAAAACCTAACCAG